CCACAAGAAAATTGTGAAAAAACGCATCTGCGCATGCGTCAGCCGGCGCGAGCCCCATTCATTTGAACGAGAGACTTCAAAAATTCACAGCGAGTAAACTAGACTGATCCAAAAAAATTCACCCCCTCAGCCTTGACACACATGTGGAACGGAGCTTTGGGCCAAGAGCCAACTTTTGGACCATCCTGTAAAGACGTTTTCCAGAGGTAAGAAGAAGCTATATGTTAGCATTGGCTAATTCTTATTCCGGGTCCACCTGGGGTGGTATTGCAAGCATGTCAGCGCACGTCATTTTGGCCACTTTTGAGCCGGGACCCGTCCCCACTGATGTATGTATGAATAGATGGTTTTCCATTGACGTCACACACTACCCACAATTCCGCTGTTCGCCATTTGTCGGTCTAGCCGCCGCTAGTTGTGGCTAAACAAAGCGTAGCACATCACTTTTTTTGCGCTAAAACATGCCGACTACCTACGTCGTTGTGAAGATACAGTAATTGTCCAGAATTAGTCTGGTGGCACTTCTGTTAGTGTGCCCCAGGGCAGCTGTGGCTACAGTAGTAGTTTATCACAACCGTTTATGGAATGTGAAGTGTATTTGAGTGTCTATAAAAGCACTATGTAAAATGTATGTACTATTATTATGAAACAAACCCAGGTCTGCGTTACATTCAGGCTCTATCCTGTATGAAGTTACTGATAATACGATATTCCTCCTTCAGAAACCTGGGTGTGTCCGTCTGCTCCTCTCTCTGACGTGGGCGGGATCTTGTCCCTGTTCTTCCTCTACAGACTGGCGGTGGTGTGGGTGGAACTGCAGCTCATCATTTTTCGTCAGTTTAGTTTCTGTATAAAAATGAACCTTTTTGCTCAGAGTTTGACCAATAGTTGATGATTAATGTGTGACGCAGGAGCCATAGCGGTGGTGGCGGGGGCGCTGGTCCTGCTTTTACCTGAGACTAGACGCGTTCCTTTACCAGAAACTATTGATGATATAGAATTCCTCAATAAGTACGGCGTTTTAACTTATTCACTTACTCAGAAAAACACTGATAGATGGGTTTATTAATTATTATTTTATTTATTTTCATCCATTTAGAAAACACAACCCTGAAATGGAAAACTAAACCACAAGACAGCAAACCCGGATGTGGTTGTTTGATGATATAATGCTTTGTTCAGAACTTTGAGTGGCCTTGTGTCTTATGAACTGTGCTATACAAATAAACTTGCCTGAGACAAAAACAGTAATATCTACTAAAATGTTTCAAAAGGTTGTATTTCTCTAGCTACAGTCTTCATCATGGGCGGCACGGTGGCTGAGTGGATAGCACTCTCGCCTCTCAGCAAGAAGGTCCTGTGTTCAAATCCCGGCCGGAACAGGGCCTTTCTGAGTGGAGTTTGCATTTTCTCCCCGTGTCTGCGTAGGTTTCCTCCGGGTACTCCGGTTTCCCCTACCACTAAAAACATGCACAATAGGTATGAATGTGAATGAGAGAGTGAATGGATGGTGTTGATTGGGGGCTGATGCGCCAGTGTGTTTGGTGACTTGCTTCTGTCATCACCGTGTCTGGAATGATTGGAACAATATCTGACTCTGAACCGTGTACAGCGCTTTGGGTGACCTTGGTCTGTAAAATGCGCTATATAAATAAACATTACTTACTTTGTTTTTGGCATTAAATTTGAACAAATTCGCTGAATAAAGTGTGAAACAATAATTGTGTGGCACTGAAATGGCTCTGGGTGACTTAAAGGTAAAGGGCAAATTGTAAGACTTTTTCAAATATTCTTATATATGAAACTTTAAACTACACCAGCTGCATATGAAGAGAAAGTACAATTAATAATGAGGTGGTTTAACAGAACTCTCAGAGCAGTCAAGTTGAAGGCATTCGGAATAGTACTTTCTTATCTCTCGTACATCTGTGGTCTTCAATAACTTTGACTTTTTCTGTATCTTTTTTTGTACCTTTAACTCAGTTTCCACCAGAGAATATCAAGTACTAGTTACCATGGCAACACACTGTTTATTGTCAGAAGTTGGCATTAGAATTTGCCTTTTTTCCTGTATTTCAGTCGCAGTTATAATGATTTTAGCACTTATTTAAAGTAAGTGAAGGTTAATAAGACATTATTTTCCTTTAATGAATCTGGTGAAAAACTCCTGGTTTGAATGGGAGCACTCAAAATGACGGCTCTGGGAGTTTTAGAGTAGTTTTAGAGTTAAGTCCCTTTGACTCATGATGATCAAAGCACTCTGGTAAATCTAATGTATTTGGAAAAGAAACATGGGATAACTAAACAATAAGGATGGGACTCTCCTCTCCTAAAACTCAAAATGATAAGTCCATCACCGTAGCTCTGACCCAAATCACATAAACACAAGTCCCACACTGCAAGTGATGAAATTAATAGTTACCTAATGTAACTTAAGTTCTACAAATAGGTGCGTAGTCCCTTAGGACTTCGCTAATGGGATATCACTCGTGACCCCCAGGTCACACGCCAGAGAGATCAAAATAATTTGCTCCAATCACCAGCCACCCTCCTCTATAAATGCCCCTGCACAAGGCCGCACCCCCTCTTGAACTCTGCCAAGCCGGGCTGGCCTGATGGGCTCGTAGCTAAGGGACTACGCACCTATTCGTAGAACTTAAGTTACGTTAGGTAACTATTAATTCTACGTCATGGTGCTACGTCCCTTAGGACTTAGCTAGTGGGACACAACGCGGAGGCCGTAGGAACATGTACTCCCAGCAGGCCAGCGAAGGGTGATTGGAGCTCCGCCCGAGCAAGACCCTCACACAGTGAGGGGACTCAGGGCAGAAGAAACAATGCGTGTTACAGGGCCACTCCTACCAAGGATACCCCCACGTAACACAGATGTAGGTCATCCGTAGTCACAGGACGCCTCTCCCAAGGGCTCCTGACGTGGACTACCTGACCGACCAAACACACATATATGTACCGCACCTGTAGGATGCCTCTCCCAAGAGCTCCTGAACCAGGGCGGAAAGTAAACCGAAGGCCCCCTCAGAGGAGGGACCTAACGGTCTAACTCAGTCCGCTGCACTCAGCACGGAATGGGCCACCGACCGGTCCGACACATCCAAAAGATAAGACCGGACGAAAGAGGAGGACGACGCCCAAGAAGCCGCACGGCAGACGTCCTCGACCGACACCCCCCTGAGAAGGGCCGTAGAGGCCGCCATCCCACGCGTGGAATGCGACCTGAAGCCCACCGGGAGGGCCAGACCCTGCGTCTGATACGCCCGCCGCACAGCCGTGGCGACCCAGTGCGCCAGCCGCTGAGCCGACAGCGGGGCGCCCCTGTTCTTGGGGCCCAGACACACAAACAGCTGACCACCCAACCTGAATGACGACGTCATGGCCAGGTAAGGCCTCAGCATTCTGACAGGACACAGAAGGTGCCACCGCTCCTCCTCGGGGGAGGCATGCGGTGGCGGATAGAAAGCCCTAATCCTGATGACTCTCGACCTAAAGGCCGACGTGATGACCTTGGGGAGAAAAGCCGGATTGGGCCACCATACCACCATGCCGTCGCCCTCTCCAAAGGACAGGCAAGACGCATGGACAGAGAGCGCACACAAGTCGCCCGCCCTCTTAGCAGACGCCAACGCCAACGCCAACAAGAGGGCCGTCTTAAAGCGACACACTCGGGACTCGCCTCCGCCGCCGGTTCAAAAGGCGGACCCGACAGCCCCCTAAGGACCACCCTGAGGTCCCAAACCGGGGGCGTTCTCTGGAGCGGGGGCCTCCTCCTGCGTGCCCCCCGCAGAAAACGTTTAACCAACGGATGAGAGCGGGCTGTGAACCCCCCGAATCCGTCGTGGCCCGAAGTAATGGCTGCCGCGAACACCGCCAAGGTGGCGACAGCCCTCCCCTTGTCAAAGAGCTCCTGTAGGAATCCCAGGACCCCCTCCAGCGGGCAACGCCTGGGATCCCAGGAACGAAAACCGCACCAGTCGCTGAAGAGCCTCCACCTCGTGGCGTAGGCCCTCACAGTGGACGGCGCCCTCGCCCCCTGAGTGGTCTCCACCACCGCAGGGGGAAGACCCAGGCCTACGAGGTTCCGCCTCTCAGCCTCCAAACCCAGAGCCTGCGGCCGATTATCGGGCGTGAAAACAGGGCTCCCCCCCCCTGGACTAGAGCCCCCGGCTCGTCCGGGAGGGCCCAGGGCTCCATCACCGCCATGCCCCTCAGGAAGGGGAACCACCGGGCATGCGGACTGTCCGGCGCCACCAGGATCACCAACCTCCTCTCCTGTTCGATCCTCCGCAGCAGGACCGGCAGGAGACGCACTGGTGGGAAAAGCGTACAGCAGGCCCCCTGGCCAGGGGTAATGAGCCAGAGCGTCCACGCCTAAGGGCGGCTCGTCCGCGGCCCTTGAGGCGAACCAGGACGGGCACTGTGCGTTTCCTGCACTGGCGAAAAGGTCGACCACTGGACGGCCGAACCTCCGCCAGATCTCCGCAGCTACCCGTGGGGCCAGGCCCCACTCGTCCTGGAGTGGGCCCCCCCCTGGACATCCTGTCGGCCCCCACGTTCCAGACCCCCGGGACGTGGCGCGCCCTGAGGACAGGAGGTGAAGCGCCGCCCACAGCAGCGTCACCGTCGCCATGCGATGGAGAGCGGGGGACCTGGTGCCCCCCTGCCTGTTCAGATAGGAGACCACTGTGGTGTTGTCTGAGCGCACCATCACGTGTCTCCCCTGCAGCTGAGGAGCAAAGTGCAGCAGTACCCTGTGTACTGCCTCCATCTCCAGCAGGTTGATGTGACGGGCTGAGTCCGACCAGCAGCCTCCTACAGAACTCTGGCCGAGGACCCCGCCCCATCCTTCGAGCAACGCGTCCGTGAACATCTCCACGTGAGACACGGCGCAGGCCAGAGTCACTCCGTCCCGCAATAGACCCGGAGTGAGCCGGAACCTGATGTTCGATGCTGCCACTTGGGGAACCCAGATCAGCCTCCCCCCGTCCCGGGAGGGGTGAATCCTGAGGCGTGAGAACCACCTCTGAAAATTCCTCATGTGGAGAAGGCCTAGCCGCACCACAGCATGAGCCGCCGCCATCATTCCCAGCAGGGACCTGAGGCGCCGAGCGGGGACTCTGGGGCCCGCCAGAACCTCCCTGGGTAGACGGGTAGTGTTCATCCGTCTGTCCACGGACCGAGATAGATACATCATGCGCTGAGCCGGTTGCAGCCTGCTTCTACGTCATGGTGCTACGTCCCTTAGCGGACTTCGCTAGTGGGATAACACGTGCACCTATTCGTAGAACTTAAGTTACATTAGGTAACTAATAATTTTCTCCCTGTTCACCACAAAGCCCAGGCGTTGTATGTGGGAGAGGACCCAGTGCGTGTGACTCACGGCCACTTCCCTGGATGAGGCCAGTATTAACCAATTGTCTATGTAGGTTAATATTCTTACCCCTGCGCGTCTGATCGGCTCCAGTGCCGCTTCCACGCATTTGGAAAAAGTCAGAGGCGCGAGTGCATAACCGAAGACGGCAGTACTCGTAATTCCTCTCTCCCACTGGGAAGCGCAGAAACCTCTTGTGTTCTGGCACTATGGGCACGTGGAAGTACGCATCTGTCAGGTCTATGGAGGACATCCAATCTCCCTGCCTGACACACTCGAGGAGCTGCTTTGTGGACAGCATCCGAAACTGCCGTTTGGAAATGCACTCGTTCAACACGCGCAGATCCAGAATGGGACGCACCCCGCCTGACTTCTTTGGCACTAAGAAGTAAGGGGAGTACAGCCCCCTGGTGGCGTCCTGCGGGTCTACCTCCACTGCTGCGCCTCGACTCAGCAGAGAGGAGACCTCCGCTTGCAGTGCCTCTATTGATCCCCGTACCTGGGAGCGTGCTGCCCGTACGCCTCGGAATGGTGGTGGCTTTTGGAAGAATTGCAGTGCGTAACCCCTGCGCAATGTTTTCTCCAGCCATATAGCTGTCAGCAAACCCTGCTCCCTCCAGATGCTGTAGAAGTCTGTGAGGGGCGGAACGGGAGCTGGAACACGAGACGTCACGGCCCCGCCCTCTCCTGGTGTTCCTAGCAGGGAGGGGGGGTGGCCTAAAGGGCCGGGGGCGGTCACGTGTTCTGCAGGCCCGACGTCATAAGTACGGGACTGCTCACCACACGTGACTCGGCTGCTGTGCCCCCCCCTGGCTCTTGCCTCATGGATGGGGGGCGAGCCCCTGGAGTGGGAAACCCCGTGTTAGCCTTGTAGTTCAGAGATGCTAACACGCGTTCGGCCGAAGCACACACACCACTACTCACCAGATCCCTCCGCCTGCCCTCTCTCTGGGAGGGCATAGCATGGATCAGAGAACCGGAGCTCGTAGCTCGCGTAGCGCACTGCACACCCTTTCTCTGGGGGCTGCAGGCCTAGCGAAGCCACGTTATGTGCTCGAAAAGTAACACAATCAGAATTCAGATCATTTGACATGTTACATACCCCCAAATGAGACTCAGGCAGCGAGTACTGATGAAATGCCGGCTTTTATTGAAAGAATTCTTCCCACCCCGACCTCCTCTGCCATAGGGAGGTCGGCGGTGGGTACGTTGGTCCCGCGAGCCTCCCGTGTGTCTGTCTGGACCCGGGGGCCTCGTCGAGGGGGGACCATAGGTCATGGAGCGTGGATATGGGCCAGGGCGCCTCCCGGGCGAACGCTCCCTGCCTCTGTCTCGGCTCCGCGCTGGTGGGCGGGCCTCGCGCCTCGGCGCTAGGTGCTGGGCTAGGCTAGCCGAGTCCTTGGCTGCGGTCTCCAGTCTAGCCACCAGGGTCTGCTTGTCCGGACCGAAAAGGGACGTCTGGGAGATAGGCAGGTCCAGCAGCTGCCTCCTCTCCGCCTCCCTGATATTAGCCAGCCCAAGCCAAAGGTGCCTGGCCCCGACTTGGGCTGCTGCCATGGAGCGGCCACCATCCACAGCTAGCGTCTGGCACATGCGCAGAGTCGCCGCCGAGGTGGTCCTCGCCTGTGACAGGAGGTCTCCACTGAGCGCCTGGCCAGAAGAGAGCGACATATCCAGGGCCCCCGTGATGAATGCCATGTTGTTAGTCAATGCGAGGACCTGTGCTGCATTGGCATAACATCTATCCAGCATCGCCAAGACATCCTGTCCCGCTCGGAGGGAAGGAGAGGTCTGGTGCCGGGCCACACGGATGCGGAGGGCTGCAGGGCCATGCGGACTGAATCCTCGATGTCCGGGACACCACCGGTCCAGGACCAGTCCTGCCCGCTGCAGTACATGCCGTACCCCAGAGCAGGCCTCTTGGCTGCTAGGGGCTTAGGCCACTCACGTGTCGCGTAATGGACGAACGGGTCCGTCCGCGGGCACAACGTGGGTTGCATCCTCCTCCTTCCTCGAGTGGTGGCACCTACAGAGGTGAAGTCCTCCACGTCTGGATCCAGCGACGACGTCCGACGCCGGAGGGCGAAGGGAACTCGGACGAACAAGGAAGACATCTCAGAATGAAGTAAGTACTGTGGTAGATCTCAATCGGCATTGTTCATTTGGATCGGTGATCCAAATGAACAAGATAAAAATGATCTGACGAAGGCTAAGGCCGAAACGTTAATAAATACTAGATCTTTTGGACATCTATCCGAGTGTGCTGTGTATTTTCCACATTTAAGATCTCAATCGGCGCCAGAGTGAAAGAGGGGGTGCGGCCTTGTGCAGGGGCATTTATAGAGGAGGGTGGCTGGTAATTGGAGCAAATTATTTTGATCTCTCTGGCGTGTGACCTGGGGGTCACGAGTGATATCCCACTAGCGAAGTCCTAAGGGACGTAGCACCATGACGTCAAAATGTTTCTTAATTTGAGCACATTCTGACTGCCTTAAAACAAGATTTCCCAATGGGACAAAGCAAAATCATCTTGTTTTAAAAAGATACAACAAACATTTCTCTTGGAATGAGAAAATAAAGCAATAGTTCTAAGACTAAATAAAACTAAATGGATTCGTCCCATGTACAAATCTTATTATAAGATGGTAGAATGTACTCAAATTATGATAGAAAAACACTCCATTCAAGCATTTATTTCTTCAAATTGTATATTTTTTTGCAGCACGTGAATTTCCCTGCTCTTTCCCTTATCTGCTCTTTCTCTAGTTTCCCCTCCTGCACTCAAGGGGGAGCTCTAACCAAATAAAACATAAACATACATTGGCTGCATCGCTGTAGAGTCAAAAGAGTAAGTACTGTGTGTAATAATGACTTGATGCAGTTCTCATTATGTGAAAATGTTTGTATTCATATTCGTTAGTTTGTCTTGATGGTTCTGTCTATCCAGTCGACGAACTTGGACACTCTGGCGTAGACTCCAGGCCTCATGGGGGTGGCACAGCCCAGGCCCCACGAGGTCACACCCTGCACCACGTACTTGTTCTGGGCATAACAGACCAGCGGACCCCCACTGTCGCCCTGGGAGGAATACACAACATTACTGTACGTCCAAGAGTGGAAAAAACAGTTCATTTACAATACAAGATCATATATGAATTATCACATGACAAGTTTGTTGTCTGTAGCACTTGGAGGTTTCCTGGAAGTGTATGGTGCAATATAAATAAAATGCATTATTATTATGTTCAAGATTTCTCTGCCTTGTGTGCCAAAAAGTTGTATTCCTCCAGCTACAATATTCAACACGTGTTATTGGCTCAATGAGGGATGAAGCTTTATTTGTGGGGCATTGAAACTGTCCATGAATGTTAAACATAAACCACTTGTTAACACTAGATTTCCCAGAGCAGTCCATTTGACTGCTTTTTGTTTTGGAAATGTATTTACTCCGTTCAAGTATGTTTTTGTTCTTCATAACTGTTTTTATATGTAGTTTATTTCAGTGTCATTATGTGAATAAATTCTCGATCCTAGACTGGCATATTCACCAGTTTGACAATATATTAAAGATTTTTTTTTAAAACTATATGAATTACTCAATTTGAATAAAAGTAGTGATATGTCTGTTTTTGCAAATGTACTTTACAAATATGGCATTTATTCTAACGGTGGATTGGTTCTTTATAGTAACATGACAGTATTTTTTACCTGGCAGCTGTCTGTGCCTCCCTCGATATTCCCTGCACACATTTCGTGGTCTTTGACGCGACCGTTTAGGTATGACGGCCGGTTACAAATCTTATTCTCGATGACAGGAAAGCCAGTCTCCTTCAGAACACCTTCTCCTCCGGTGCCTACAACACGTGCTCATCACTGCAGGAACTTGTTTGTGTTGCTAAAAGAATCATTACCTTGAGTTTCTCCCCATCCAGTCACATAGCACTCCGTTCTACTGGGAACTATGTAGTCCTTGTCTGGCAGGCAGGCGGGGAGGACTTTGTCATTTATGATTGCAGGTCTAAAAAAGAATCAGATTGTCATGAATGCAGCGAGTTTGCGAAGCATGAACTTCAGAATCAGAATGTGCAAATCTTTTAGACACAAGCAGGACATGCTTTAGGACTCTGAGAACATACTTTCAAACCTTGAGTATATAACTTTAAAACCATAAAAAAGTAACAATAAATGTGAATCCATGTAACTTGTTCCTAGTTCTATAACATTTTTGGTTTATTTTTCACATGTCTGTTTATCGTATTTTTTGGATTATAAATTGCTACAGATTATAAATCGCACCAGCTGAAAATGTAGAGTAAAGAAGGAAAGAAACATGAGATGCACTAGAGTATAAATCGCATTGTTTGGGGAAAAGTAATTAATAAAATCCAACACCAAGAAAGAGACATTTCACATTGAAGGCAAGTTTAAATAGAAATAGAATCGAGAACAACAGGCTGAATAAGTGTGTGTTATATGACATAATAAACAACGAACTGAGAACGTGGTTTGTTAACGTAACATACTACGCTGACAGTCATTCACATAACTTAAAGAACATGCTGCAAGTTCACCAACAAATCAGTGTCACTCCTAATCACTAAATCCAATGATATCTTCAACGGAAATGTATTAACATAACAAAAACTGCGATTAATAATCCGAAAAATACAGTAGTATATGTTTGCCTCTTTTACATCTTTGGATCATATTTTTTTGTGAAAAAGGGAGAAAAAAACAAATCAGTTCTCAGTATGTAAGAGTAAGACTAATCTAATAAGATGGAGACCGCAGATGACCAATGTCTATAAATGTCATGAATGTCGAGTGTCCTGGATCATCACCACTGTCCTTAGACCCTCCTAAGTAATAATTGTCCAGCGAGTACTGTAATCTGTTCCTCAGATTACAATCTCTGTTGAGCCTTTTGTACCTGTCCAGTTTGAGCAGAGCCATGTCTGCACCACCCGGCTCCAGCACCAGCTTCTCCAGTCTGCGCTCCTGTTTGGAGGCCTCATTGGCTTGCTCTGTGTGGACCCCCAACAGAACCTTGTATTCTGACGGACGCTTGGACCTGAGATCAACAACACCAGACTCAGAACAGGCTCACGAGGAGTTCACGTTCACGGATATTAAAGTTGACAAAAGTGAATATCAAACTAAAACAGACCTTTCCAGGCAGTGAGCAGCTGTGAGCACCCACTGAGGATGAATCAAAGTCCCACCACAGAAGTGGATGCCAGTTCTTTGAGAAACACAAAAAGAAAATAATGTAAAGTCATAATTGGTCTCCATTACTTTTTACACTTCTTGTTTATGCTAAAGTCAGAGATTTTGTACTTAATTCTTGTTTCATGCTAAGTTAAAGATTTTGGATCATTTATTATAGAGTTAACGTTCATTAATTTGTTTTGTGCTCCTCATCCCTTCTGTTCTGTAACCGCTGATCCAACACTGACATTTCCCCACTGTGGGTCGAATTAAAGCAGCAATATGCAAGAATTTTATGTCAAGTAATTTAATGGCCCTAATATGTCAAAAGGTATTAATAAAACATACTCTTTTCAAATACTTCTTTAACAGTAGTTCAGCCGAGATATTTGGATTTCAAAATTAGTTTTACAGCCCCTAAATCTTGTTATTGTTTTCATTTTGATGTCCCGTCCTCCACCGTTTTACCAATCAGAAAGTCTATGATCTGGGTTGCGCTGAGCTAATCTAGAGTAACATGTCGCCACAGAACTACAAAAGGTCTCAATATGATTCTCAAATTATTAATAACAAAACAAGGTAAAAAACCCGGATTTCCATCGGGGACTTTGTGAAAAAGGTGTTGGTTATAGAATTGTTTTGGACAAAACTCTTGTCTATTCAGATATTATGGTCCCAGCTGAATTCGTCTGCATATCTGGCAACCTGAGTCAGGGAGAGTGGGGGAAGTTGCAGTACCACTTTTATCAGGAAAAATATCATTCACATTTATCAAACCACACCAAGCACTTCACAATGTTTTGAAGTGACAATATTTTTTCCATTCAATCCATGCACCACCGACCATTACTATTCGTTCACTCACTCAATACACTCAGACCTATTGTACATGTTTTTAGGGGAAACTGGAGCACCAGGAGAAAATCTATGCAGACATGGGGAGAACATGCAAACTCTACCCAGAAAGCCCCTGTGGAGGTGGAAGAAAAGATCAGGACCTTCTTCCGGTGAAGCACAAGCACTAACCGCTGCGACATATGCGCAATGAGAGTAGGTAGTTAAGAAGACACACAAAAATAATATACAAAACTGCAGCCAAAATATTCTCCCTGAGCTTGTTATTTTGTTTGTATTATTTTACTGTATGAATTGTGCTTTATAGATACATTTGGTTGATTGATTGACAACTGAAAATGAGTAAGTGCACCCCATACTAAAGCCATGTCTTGATCCTGAATAGTACATAGGTCATTTAGTCATACACACAAAATAGATCCCTATTCTGGTCTCAAATGAGTAGACAATGAGTTTTGGGTTTTTTGGGAAATTATCTTGTTTTTGCGCAGTGAGAATTAAGCTATAGAAACATGTTGTGTTTTTTTTTTTTTATCCCAAGTCTTCCAGTTCCTTTGAAAAACTTAATACATAATTATTTTTCAATCAAAAAAAAGGTGAGTGAGTTGCCAGATGTGACATGTGATCAATAAAGTCTATCTTATCTTATCTTATCAAATCGTTTTTTTCCTGTTTATTGACTACAACGGTCTAGACGGCAAATAAGATCCAAGCTAAAATGAACAGGTTTAGTTCTGAAACTCACCGGGTGCGGAGGCTGATCTGCCAGGGCCATGAGTAAGGTTTGGAGACGCAACCACCAACGATACGACCGAAACACCTCTTTGGTTTGATCACTGGAGTCCCACAGCTCATTCCAGCTGACAAAGCACAACACATTCATGACTGTAGGCCTTTCTTAAGTTTCATTCATCCTTCTAACAAATTCTACACTTGCAACCAGACCAAAAAAGTGTATAAATGTCATATTGCATCAGCAGTTCACTCACCACAGTCTGGGATCTGGCAGTAGTCCCATTTCTTGGTGCGGTCAGTCGTGTAGCACCAGGGGCCGTTCACATCATTGTCTGGATTTCTGCAACTCTGAAGGGAAGGAGTTAAAGCTGGGGTCACTTTTTAAGATAGAAATATACTGTGTCTGTCCCAACAACAAACCACGATATGCTGTCTTTATAAAAACAATAACGTGTTTTTAATTAAGATGGTCTATATAGAGGAAAAGGAGAGAGAAGGGAAGGAAAACGGGAGAATACAACAATATTAAGTTCTCTTCCCGGATGCATCTCAAGCATACACTTTAATCACAACATCTCTAGTCTGTTTTTAATGTACCACACGTTCACAAGACATATGCAAGGATGCTGCCGGAAGAGTACCACCAAAACATATTAGTATGCCTAGGTATTGTCAATGCTATCCTCCTCACCAACAATATGATCATTACAGCTACTTAATCCCATTGTTTTTGTTTTTTTGTTTTTTTCTTCCTCACCTATTAAATACACAAAAAGGGAACACATACACACACACTTACGTTACCGTCCAGTCCCTTGGTGGGATGTGTGACTGGGGTGAAGCTGTTGTGGGGATGGGGGGTCTGAGCGCTCCAGGCCTGGCAGGTCACTCCAGCAACAGTCATGGATGTGAGACCTCGATAATCGGCTCCATTTTCATTCTTACAGTCTAAGAAATACAAGGACAACTCGTCAAGCAATAGTTTGACACGGATGTCACACTGCTTTTTCGAAAGGGCCTCCTGTGGCTTACGAAAAGCAAGCAAGAGTGCACCACAACCTGCAGCACCCCCAAGGACTGGTTTGACACACTGGTTAAGAGGGTCTTATGGAGATATTCAATACAATCTGAGTAAATGTATGTAATAATTTCTGTTAATACATTATATTTATGACTTTTGGTCGGCCTCGAAGAGATTCTGGCAAACCATCCGGCGACTCAGGAGGGGGAGCAGTTCTTTGGGTGGCGAGCTGCTGACCTCGACTGGGGATATTGTCGGGCCGTGGAAGGAATACTTTGAGGTTCTCCTCAATCCCCCCGTCACTTCCTCCGTTCCATAGGCAGAGACTGAAGATGTTGGCAATCAAGAGCGGTGCCAATGGCATGGCAGACCGGAGTAGTTGTCCCCCTCTACATTAAGGGGGACCGGGGGTGTGTTCCAATTATCGTGGGATCACACTCTTCAGCCTCCCCGGTAAGGCTATTCCAAGGTACTGGAGAGGAGGCTAGGGCCAATGGTCGAATCTCGGATTCAGGAGGAGCAGTGTGGTTTTCGTCCCGGTCGTGGAACACTGGACCAGCTCTATACTCTCCATCGGATACTTGAGGGAGTTTGCCCAACCAGTCTACATGTGCTTTGCAGATTTGGAGAAGGCGTTCGACCGTGTTCCCCGGGGTGTCCTTTGGGGATTTCTCTGGGAGTACTGGGTCCGGGGTCCTCTGCTGAGGGCCGTCCGGTCCCTGTATGACCGGAGCCAGATCTGCGTTCGCATCGCCGGCAGTAAGTCAGACCTGTTCCCGGTGCATGTTGGCCTCCGCCAGGGCTGCCCTTTGTCCCCGGTTCTGTTCACTGTGTTTATGGACAGAATTTCTAGGCGCAGCCAGGGGCCGGAGGGAGTCCAGTTTGGGGACCTCAGGATTTCATCTCTGCTGTTTGCAGACGATGTTGTCCTGTTGGCTCCAACGAACCAGGACCTGCAGCATGCACTGGGACGGTTTGCAGCCGAGTGTGAAGCGGCTGGGATGAGAATCAGCACCTTCAAATCTGAGGCCATGATGCTCGACCGGATAAAGGTGCCTTGCCATCTCCAAGTGAGTGGAGGGGTCCTTCCTCAAGTGGAGGAGTTCAAGTGTCTCGGGGTCTTGTTCACGAGTGAGGGAAAGATGGAGCGTGAGATTGACAGGCGGATCGGTGCAGCGTGCGCAGTGATGCGGTCTGTGCCAGATGCCTCCTGGACGTCTCCCTGGGGAGGTGTTCGGGGCACGTCCCACCGAGAGGAGACCCCTGGGAAGACCCGGGACGCGCTGGCGGGACTATGTTTCTCAACTGGCATGGGAACGCCTTGGGTCCCCCCCGACGAGCTGGAGGAAGTCTCTGCTTAGACTGCTGCCCCTGCGACCCGGCAACGGATGAAGCGGAAGAAAATAGATGGATGGATGGACATATGTTTAAAGTTACATCTCAAAATGGTCGCTGTAACTTCACTCACGAACTCACAGATTACCACAGAACTTTCTGGACTGTTGAGTGCATCTGTACATAAACCACACCAGCTAAATCTTAAAACAAAGTACATTTTTCTCACACTTGAATATAAGCCGCAGGTTTTCCTGTTGTAATGCAACACTTAACCAATGGTTTATGAAGAAAAATGAATACTTCTAAACAAGATTTAATAGCAAGGTGAACATGAAAGTACATTGGTAAATCCAGTCTAATTTGGCAATAAAAGTATTTTCTTCTTTTATTCAAATGTGATGTAATGCAATGTGAAATTTCCCCACCATGGGACAATAAAGGTTTATTTTTATATTATATTTATATTAGGTCATTTTTAAATCATTATCTGCACATTGAAGTACTCTATCTATGTATTATCGGTTTATTGGTTCAATGCATTTAACTGTTTTTCCAACTTTGATGCAAGAGGAGAAGTCGTACCTTTGGCTGTGGGGGTCTCTGTGACGGTAGGGGGTCTGGAGGGTCTGGATGGGGACTGGGTGGGGGAGGCGGTGGAGCATTTGTCCACTTTGCAGTACTCCCAGCGGACAGCAGGATCCATGGTGTAGCACCACGGCGCCCGGTCTCCATCTGGGTTCCTGCACAGGTTCTTCTTCAAATCCCTGAAACAAGAAGTCTCATTTCAAGAACTGTTAACTTATTTCCTCATTCCGAAGGAAACATTTCTTGCATCTTTTTAAAACAAGATCATGTGGCTTTGCTTTATTTTTTATTCTTAATCACTTTTTGCAGCACATAGTACATTTTGTACTATTGTCCTACATAGTGCCTGCTTCAGCTTCACCCGCTCTCTTCCAGATAAAAAAAAGGTCTTTTCTACTCTTGGCACAGAAGTTTCATCCTCTGCCATCTCGCCAAGGCATGAAACACAATTTTGTGTTAAAATGAAATGTTACTGACTTTGTACCGAGTGAAATGTTACCCAGGGTTTTTTTTTTTTTTATGCCTTACAGTACCACATAATACCAACAAGCTATTTCTTACAGTAATGACATTCGTTTTCTAACCTGTCTCTCCCAATACTGCTCTTAACCTGAAGACTTGAGAAAAAGGGTGGAGTCTGGTGTGCTGCTTCTTGGTTGGAGTGAAATCCCACAGCCACAGAGCCCTTTCGGTTTGACCTCCCTGGTGTACTGTGTGTGTACTGTGTGTTTACTGTGTGTTTACTGTGTGTATACTGTGTCATGTGTGTGACCACCGCACTCACGCAGAGGGAAAATTCTGAGGGGTCTTCGTGTGGGTGTGTGGCGTCATGGCGCTCCAGGACTGACACTTCTTTCCACTGATCGTCTCTGATGTGACGCCTCGATACGAGCTGCCGTTGCCTTCGTAGCAGTCGTCGTCCTCGGGGGGAATCACCGCCTCGTCTGGGGGCCACACACAGTGAAAACTGTGAATTATTATCTTTAAAAATAGATCTGGTTTGATGTGTGCATAATCAGAGTGCTCTAATTTTCTCCTTATTCTGCTGAAATGTCACAACAATGACATTGAAATGTCTCTTGTGAGGGACGAATAAAGGTTTATTATCTTAAACAGAGACGGAGTCTTCAGCGTCTGCAGGGAGTACCTGGGGGCCCCGGGGCGTTGCTGCAGCTGGGGATCCTGCAGTACTCCCAGCGCGTGTTGGCGTCAGACGTGTAGCACCAGGGCTGTCTCTCGCTGTCTGGGTTACGGCAGTAGTTGCTTTCCAGACCTCTGTAGAACAATAGACACCATGGATGTGGTGGATAATCAGGTATAATGTTGGTGATCTCTGTTCCGCACACACTTGCAGGGGTAGTTCTCTGGGCTGCGGTTGTGCTTGTGTGGTGTTTGGGAAGACCATTGCTGACAGGTTTTCCCAGACTCAGTGACTGCAATGGTCCCTCTGTAGTTTGTGCCTTCTCCTGAGGCACAGCTGAGCTCTGGGACGATGGTCGGGGGCTCAGATGCTGCAAACAATCACATCATTAAACAGGACCCCTGATGGTGACACTGGCTGGGAGCGTACCACAGCGAGGGATGGAGCAGAAGTCCCAGCGTTTGGAAGGGTTGGTGGTAAAGCACCAGGGCCGAGGGTCTCCGTCTGGGTTCCTGCAGTAATTCTCTTCCAGATACTTATCTGGGAGACTGCAGACACAGCACCAGTATATTAAACTAACACATACACACAATAAACAGTATAACAGTAGGAGACTGACGCGGCAGGGTTGTATCCGTGGTTGTGTGGTTTCTGGGAGTCCCAGCGCTGACATGTGTTGCCGTTCTCTGTGGTGGAGATCTTCCCTCTGTAGTCCTCACCGCTGCAGTAGATGCACTCCTCTGTTAGAGAGTAATGTCAATGAGTTTGTTATTCACAAATCAAGTTGAATGGAAAATGATTGGTTCACTCCTGGTCACTGCTGTCTCAGCCTGAGGCCTCCTCAGATACAGACATGTTTGTGCTGGTCACCTGTGCAGCTGGCCACATTACAGTTCTCCCAGCGTTTGTTGGGGTCTGTGGTGTAGCACCAGGGGCCTCCACTGTCTTCATCGGGGTTTCTGCAGTAGTTTGAGATCAGGTCAGCCTTGGTGTGGGTCTGGGGTGTGATACTACAGAAGCACAGGTTTTAGAGCAGACAGATGACACAGAGGAACATACAGGATATGAAGACAGCAGACAGCCTCTATACTTGGGAACGTGAGGGCTCTTGGTTCGCCACCGCTGGCAGGTCTTCCCTGATTTTGTAGTGGTCTTTGTCCCTCTGTAGTCTGTTCCCAGTCCATTCACACACTCAAGGAGGTATACTATAGAAAACACAGTTAATGAGGCTCAACACAGATTCTATGTTGTCTTTAATGCTGATGATAGCAAACAAATCAAGCGTACCTTTTTTCTCATAATACACTGTGCTGGTTCTTCTCAGGACCATCTCTGTTTTGGAGTTGGACTCTGCCGTCCAACACTCCTGGTCCTTCTCATGGTAAATGAACGACCTGTAGAATCCCACATTAAGAAGTATTACTGTACTACTATATTACTGTTCAGTGAGCACATTGTAGACTTATGTGTGTGTGCAGGACTCACTTGCACGTGAAGGTGGTCTCAGCATCACATTTAGCAGCACATTCACCCACTGTGTTCACAGAGTATAGTCTTTTGTGCAGCGACACAATCCAAGCCCCTTCAGTTTTGGAGTAACCTTCTACGTCAGTAGCACTCACTGGAAAATTCAACATTCAAACTCAATCAAGTCTGGTCATGAAGACAAAAAAGGACCTTTAAAAATTTTCCCAAAAGTGTTTCTGATTCACTGTTAACCATGGCCATTTCCTGTTTCTGGTGGACATACACAGAAGCCACTATTTCACACTGCAAAAAATTAAAAAAATATGAGGTCCTTTTTATCCTAATTTAACCCTAAAGTACAGTATTCTGACATAAAACAAGATTTGTCAATTGGACAAAGCCATTTAGTCTTATTTTAAAAACTGTTACTTTATTTTCTCATTCCAAGGGAGACATTTATTAAATCTTCTAAAAACAATAAAACGATAATTGTACCTCCTACTGGCAAATCTTGTTTTAAGGCAGACAATATGTTTCTATAGGATACGGTACCATATACTAAAGCGTAATAGAATCCAGGTAGAGTAGAGCTGAGTAGGGCTGGTGGTGGAAACAGGGAAATGTACACTGCACCTGTATCACCTCAGTTAAACCATAATTATAAAAACATAGCTCCAGGTTTGGATTCTGGAAGTTGAAGTGAAGTACTGTCCCTGAACTTCATACTGTACACTTCAAACCCTCAGTTGTTTGTTGACCCACTGCACTCACCTCTATTGCCCAAGGCCCTGCTTTTGGGATGCCCTGTTGAGTAAAGTGTAAAGTCTACCGGTGGCTATTTCTTCTTTTTGAGTGAGAATAAGAAATAAAAAGATTTTTTTTATATATCCATTGGTCATCACTCTTCTTTATCACCAAACTACGGATCACCAAATCACTGCAAATGACAAATAAACAGAATCTGGAATTTTTCTATGTTTCCATTAAAACCGCGCAGCCGATGAGCCTCCTCTCTCATCTCGAAAATGAAATGTAGCATCTCAGGGGCCTTTCCCAAATCAGATCAGAATCACCTCCACAGAGATGCTACGTGTTATTCGTGAATGAACTAAACTGCCTTGACGTTGTTGGTGTGTTGCTGGTCTCATGAGAGGCCATTTCTCACCAGTGCAGAGCAGGGCCACCAAGCACAGGGACACAAAACACAGGTACTGGTCCATGGTGAGGCCTCAGCTCATCGCCCTGTGGTCCCTCCTGTCTCTCCGCTCTGCCCCGCTTCCCTTCACACACACACACACACAAAACACCACAATTATACAATGTAGGAGACGGCGTTCTGATGTGAGAGTTGGAGGAGCTGTAGAGACGTCTTACCTTGTCCTGTAAGTGTAAGGAGACGGCTGGAGTTTGAAATGTAGGTCCTTCTCTAACGGCCCTCGATCTTTGTTATTTGCCTGAACTTTAACCATTGTAACATGTGACATCTGTGTTCTTATCAAAATGTCAATATTGCCTTGAAAACATTGGTGTAGGGGCCGCCTATGAACCGCTAACAGAATACTTCATTTCATTGAACTTTTTGCTTTCAATTCATGAAGTGGTGTATCCTGTGAGCATTCATTTCAGGTCATTCTGTTTTAATATGTCTCATTATAGGTTTATACAGTATCAGTTTGATGAGTTCAAGATCATTCATTTATTTGTTTATTTGTTTGGAGGATAAGGCCCTAGAGAAGAAATATCTTGTTTACGATGGAGTCCTCAAAATTGCACCACATGACCGATACACAAAGGCAGTAAAGCAGATAAAAAATAATAACATAATTCATAGAGAACGAGACACACAAAAGACAAAACACACGCTCACACATGCACACACACATTTTGGTTGTGAATTGATTGTGTGTGATAATTTTCAGGGATTAAGGCTAGTATTCATATTAGTAAATAGAGAAATAGAGAAATAGAGTTGTGAGAGAGCTGATCAATAACGGCCTGTTCCAAGAATGTTGGAATGAACGTTTTCCAACTTCTTTTTTTGACTCAATGATCTCCAATGATGTGTTTGCAAACTGTTCCTTGCTCATTTACATATACAACTTTATTGTAATTCCCTTTTTTTTCTGTATAAATGCCTTTAAAGCACATTTCCATGTTACATTCACATATGTTTGATCTATGTCACAAAGAGAATCCAGTCACAGCATCTGGATATTTAAGACTGCTCTAAGTCTCTCTTCCTTTGTTCCCATTTCCTTTTTGACTTTACTGAGGTCTTGATGGTTTTTATAAATGGTGTCAAAAAAGCTAAAATCTGGGCGGCACTGTGGCTGAGTGGATATCACTCTCGCGTCTCAGCAAGAAAGTTCTGGGTTCAAATCCCAGAGCCTCCAGAATTGAGTTCTATATATTCCAGTTTCCAGTTCATGAACATGCACTGTCCCGACCAAACTTATACTGTACTAAACTTAATATACTTGTACTAAACTCACTATACTTGTACTAAACTTAATATACTTGTACTAAACTCACTATACTTGTACTAAACTTAATATACTTGTACTAAACTTAATATACTTGTACTAAACTTTATATACTTGTACTAAACTTAATATACTTGTACTAAACTTAATATACTTGTACTAAACTTACTATACTTGTACTAAACTTACTATACTTGTACTAAACTCACTATACTTGTACTAAACTTACTATACTTGTACTAAACTCACTATACTTGTACTAAACTTACTATACTTGTACTAAACTTACTATACTTGTACTAAACTTACTATACTTGTACTAAACTCACTATACTTGTACTAAACTTACTATACTTGTACTAAACTTCTACTGGTCCCCAAATGTTGAACCTCTGCGTGAAGTAAATCTTCAGCTAAGAAAGAACAACGTCCAAATGATACAACGCTGCATTGCATAATAAAAACATGAGCTTTACTACTTTGCAGAAGTGATACTGTTCTTTGTTTAAACTAGAAAAGCCGACCTCCACCAAGAGTTCTATTCCTGTAAAACATCCCTGTAATCTTGATCCAAAATCTGAGAATGTTGTTCCTTTCACCAATTCACTGGTTTCCCGAACATTGGACAAAAATCTGATGAACAAACAAACCCTGGTGATTACATTACTCACCTGGCAGAGGTGGCATGTTTTATAAAGAAGGAAAAGAGCATTATTATATGTACTCATTGTTTCTTTAAGTATAAATTCTCCAGTGGTATGTGCCTGTCCATCAGTAGGAACATGTAATAACCCAAACAGTCCAGCAGATGGTGCTAGTGTTGGTTACATGATGGATGCGAGGTGTCGCTCCAGATCCAACAAGAGAATAGTTTAGGAAGAAACAAAACAAATAGATCACACAGACAGGTCTCCTGTTTCAATGCACTTTTTGTGTCACTTTTTTTTTAAGCGAATTGTATATTTTTTTCAATGTGAAGTTAATCAACTACTTATACTGTATATTAATATATAAGTATGAGCTTTGCATTGCAGAGTGGCTGGGCGCTCCCTTAGAGATAGGGTGAGGATCTCAGTCACACGGGAGGAGCTCAGAGTAGAGCCGCTGCTTCTCCTCGTCGAGAGGAACCAGTTGAGGTGGCCCGGGCATCTGTTCCGGATGCCTACTGGACACCTCCCTGGGGAGGTGTTCCAGGCACGTCCCACTGGGAGGAGGCCCCGGGGGAAAACCCAGGACACGCTGGAGGGACTATTTGGCCTGGGAACACCTTGGCCTTCCCCTCGGATGAGCTGTGAATGTGAGGAGAGGGAAGTAAGGGCCTCTCTGCTCAGACTGCTGCCTCCAAAACCTGGCAACTGATAAAGAGGATGAACATTATTGGATAGACAGTAATACTTATAATAACCCCCATTTATTTTGTACACAATAAGTCCCCATTAAAAAGCTCTCATTGAGTTTTGCAGTGACCTTCATACTCAAACAAGTATTTCCCATTGTCAGAAAAGAAGAGGAAGTGGAGGAAGAGGAGGAGGAGAAGGAGGAAGAGGAGGAAGAGGATGAGGAGAAGGAGGATGAGGAGAAGGAGGATGAGGACGATGCAAATGGAGGAGGAGAATGGAGGCTGCAGAGGAGTAAGAGGGTGTAGAGGGAGAGGTAACACTTTACATTAGCCCTCATCACTCTGTCATGGTGTGGATTTTTATATTTTTTGTAATTTTTTTATTTTGACTTCAGTTCTCTGTGGTTGGTGGTTTTTTTTATGAGACCTTTCAACATAGACTCCCACTGATGTCTGCTGTTGTGTCCTTGGGCAAGATACTTAACCCCACTTTGCCTGGAGCCCCCGCTGAAAGATCAAGGCTGCACTGTCACTGACTGACCGCCTCGTATGTTTCACCTCTCCTGGTCTTTCCCCACAATCGTGCTCAGGTGGGAGGGGGCAACTCTTTCAATTTCAAGATTGAAACGATTGGATCTGAGTTTGCCGTGACGCATGTAATGCACCCGGGTGAGTGAGGCATTAAGCCTAGCTTTAGCCATCTCCTCTGCCACTTTCATTTGGATTCTTGGTTTGTTTTAACCCTGGACTTTTATTTGATTATCTTCATTAAATCATTATTTTTGCATTGCCGCTTTTTGGGTCCTTTCATCACTTCACCTCATGACACACTCTAATTCAGAGGGTCAGTTGGATGTTGAATAAGGCCATGTAGAATAAGGACTAATAAGTGCTTGATAAATACCAATTAACCATAAATTATACACTAATTACCTAGTTTATTTGTATAGCACTATTCATATACAAGGAATATAAGATAGAAATAGTCACACAAGGCATTAAAATCATAAACAATCTCTGTACATTTAAAAGAAAGATAAACTTATAAAATCCCTCAGGTGTATGAACAGCTAAACAAATCTGTTTTAACTTAGATTTAAACATTGTCAGAGAAGAAGCCTGTCGCACATTTTCAGGAAGGTTACCACCTTTAAGCTGTTGCTTAGACTAAACTAAAGTGTGACCAGGGGAGGGGTAGCCTGGCCTTAGCCATCCGTACACTCCGCTCAATCATCATTTCACTGCATGTAACGTCTGGGTCTGGTCCCTGGGTTAGCGATTACAATCGGTTGAATTTCGACCGACCATTCAGAGAGCGCGGAAGGCAGGTGTTGTAGTTAGTTGTGGGTGATGTCAAGAGTTTGCGTCGAACGGCAAGCTCGTAGTTTGGTAATGGCAAAAAATGCGATAGTAAAGTAATCCGGTCTGGTTCTATCAAGAAATTGAAGCCGGAGCAAAAGGAATGTTTAGCAAATGTTATCGCTTGAAAAAATTGTGGGGCTACTCCCTACGGGCTTTGTTAGCGGCAAAGGAGATGGCTTGGCTAAATGCTAAAAGCTAACAACAGATTTCAGGCGCATTACATACGTCACGGTAAACTCAGATCCAATCGTTTCAATCTGCAAAAGGAGTTAAACCCTCCCACCTGTAAACGGAGCTCAATGGAGCACCTCCAGACCTTAGTACGAAATGTCATTTGTACTATGGTGTGGTACGACCAGGCAAGGAGAGGGGAGGTGATGTAAAATGATATACAATCAGACATACAAGAAGACTTTATTGGATTATAATTACAGAAAATGAAAGCAATCATACCTACAATGTGTTTCTCTTTTTCAAAGCAGTTTATTCAAGATCGACTGATGTTAACACTCGAGTCAGACGACATCGAGTTTGTTTTATTGACAAGAAGTTAAGCCTCATTTATCCGTCTCATCTCAGCCCCAAGAGCCCTGGCTCAATCAGACTCAGATTCTTTCTGATGTATTGTTGTGGAATTGAGTGCATTTTTTCTTTTAATTAAAGTCTTACTTTAAGTGACTCGTCCTTGACTGTGCCATTGTGAAGCACTGTGCTTTTGAGGCCGATCAAACAGGAGGCAAGGACATGTTTCTTCCTCTACAACACATACGTACATTATGAGATTGTTAAGTTGACTTTCACATCCTTGTGCTTCTTTACCGTCAGGTTCAAGACACAGCTAGGGTTCGTGATGTATTCAGAGACCATGGAAACATACAGACCATGGCAGGCTCCTCTACACACTGCAAAAAATTATCATATATGAGGTAATAATGGCTTGAATCAAAGTTTTTATCTTAATTTGAGCACATTCTAACTTCAAACAAGATTTGTTAATTGGACAAAGCCATTTTAGACTATATCCACACAAAGACAA